CTTTGTATTTTTTTTTTTTTTTTTTTAATAAATATTTCATTCCGCATTTTTTTTTTCGCGAACGATTTTTTTTAAATTTTTGCGTCATTAAAAAATAATAATAATAATAATAATAATAATGATAATAATAATAATAATAATGATGAAAAATAAATGGAACAGTTATGAATAAATTTAGGCGACGGGAAAAAAAAAAAAAAAATATTTATCAAACAAACGTATTGTTTGTCGAAACGATTTTAAAGGCTCTCTCTCTCGTATAAATAACAATAACAACATTATTCGAACTTATCGATAAATTTCCCCCCACCCCTCCCCCTCCCTCCCTCCCTCCCACCGTCTTCTTTTTTTTAAATTATTTATTTTTAATTAAATTTTTTTTAATAAAATAAAAATTTAAATAAACCGCCCCCCCCAAAAAAAAAAAAACCACACCTGCACCAATTCACAATGACAATGATGATAATAATAATAATAATAATAATAATATAAATAATAATAATGATGATGTTAAAAACGACGGTTACGCGGATTTGAATTTTTTTTTTTTTTTTTAACGGAAAAATCGAAAAACAAGGAAAATTTTAACCGAAAAAAAGAAAAAAATTAATTAATAAAATAAATTTCGTGACGTCATAAATAAACACGTAAAATCGTTATGGGAATTTTATATGGCCCCCAGGGGTTTGAAAAATAACCAAAACATTTACTTGTTATTATAATTTCGTGTCTTAAAATAAAAAATATTATTATTATTATTATCAATAATCATTGTTAAAGGGAACTTGAGAGGGAAGCGGAGTGACAAGAGGAGGAGAAGGGGAAGGAGGGGAAGGGGAAAAAACAAAAAGATTTTTCCGGATGTTTGTTTGAAAAAAAAAATACATATACGACCCCCCTGCCGTCCTTCCTTCCTTCCCTCCTCCCCCCTTTCTTCTCTCTTAACATTTTTGATTTTTAACGCCTAAATAATAATAATAATAATAATAATAATAATAATAATAATAATAAAAAGAAAGAAAATTCGTAAACACGGAAATAAAGTAAAAAGTAAAAAAAAAAAAAAAATTGTTTTTAATTTTAATTGTCATTGTCAAAACAAGTAAAACTCGTACCCGAAATTATTTTAACGAAGGTCAGTATTAATAATAATAATAATAATAATAATAATAATAATAATAATAGTAATAATGATTTATAATTTGAAACTTGAAAAGTGAAAAAGGCTGGAGGTGAATGAAACATAACATATTACTCGAAAATATTTTTTGAAAAAAAATAATAAAACAACACGTCGTAAAAATTATTGTATAATAATAATAATAATAATAATAATTTGCATAACCCGTAACGACCGAATTTAATTTTTTAATCCGTATACCCTTTCCCAATACTTTATCATTCCTCGCCCCCCCCCCCAATAAATTAACCAAATTTTCGACGACAAAGGATTCGGGCCATTTTTTCCATTTTTTTTTTTTTTTATTTAGGTTACGAAATTGTGAAATTAAACCAAATTGAAATTTATCGTAGTAATAATAATAATAATAATAATAATAATAATCGATAATCGATAATCGATAATCGTTCGTTAAAAAAAAAATCGAAAAAAAAAAAAAAAGTTCTTTTTAACAATAACAATTATTCAAATGTGTAACGAACCAAGAAATAATTTTTACAATTATAACAAAATCATCATCATCATCATCATAATCCCTATCATCACCATCACCATCATCACCATCATCATCATCATCATCATCACCATCACCATCATCACCATCATCACCATCATCATCATCATCATCATCACCATCATCACCATCACCATCATCACCATCATCACCATCATCATCATCATCATCATCACCATCATCATCATCATCATCATCATCATCATCACCATCATCATCATCATCATTATTTTCCATATTATTATTTTTTTTTTTTTTTTTTTTTTTTTTTTTTAAAAAAAAGTAAATAAAGAAAGTCGACAAGAATACATTAAAACAGAGTCAAAAAAAATTTTTTTATGATTTTAATTAATTAACATATTACCTAACGGTAATTAAGGTCAAAACTTCCGATTTTTGAAAAAAGTTTTTTTTTTTTTTTTTCCGGGACTTTTGTTGTAAAAAAAATTTTTGAATAAATTTAAAATTTGAAAAAAAAAAAAAATTTAACTTGAAATTTATTTATTTAAAAAAAAAGAAACAAAAGGTGAATAAAAAAAATAAACAGGTACCCCAGGTTTGTTAAAACTCAACTCGACCGAGAACTTGTGGTAATTTTTTTTTTTTTTTAAATTAACCGGTTCGAGTTGTTGTTGCATTAACAACAACAACAACAACAAAATTACGCGAAAATAATAATAATAATAAACGATTTAAAAAAAAAAAAAACAAGAATTTTTTTTTTTTTAACTGGAATGTATCGGAAAATTTTTAATGCCTCGACAAAAAAATTTATGATTCCCCTTCCCCCCAATCAAGTTTCTTAAGGAACAAGTTTGTAACAAAAGAAAAAAAATTTTTTTTTTTTTTTGAAAAGTTGTAAACCTGTACGTAAACCACCGATGATGCATTACGAAACGTGGCAAAAAAAAAAAAAATGTGCCAAAGTTTAAAAAAAGGTACGAAAACCAATAAAGAAATTTTCCTTTACCTTCGTTTAATATACCTCCAAACTTCGATATATAAAAAAACCGACTTTTCTCACGTTTATTATAAGGGCAATGAGATCTTCTTATGATACTCTACCTCACGACGACATTTTAAAAGGGTAAAAAGAAGAAGAAGATACAAATATTCATTTTCACGTTCCTTTGGGTAAATTAACAATCGGAAAATTACCAGATGACAATTTTTCTACGTCAACCATTTTATCTAATTTTATTATTATTATTATTATTATTATTATTAATTATCCCGAGTTTTTATTACGTCAGTAAAAATGTTTTTCTTCCCGCGTTTGTTTGTTTGTCGATATCTAAAATTATACGATAACGCTAATAATAATAATAATACTTTATTGTTCTATTCCAGTGTTCGATGCGAGCAGTAAAATACCCGAAGGAATTTTATTCGGATCATCTCATAATTTGGGAAATTTCGACGAATGCGTTAACGTTGTCACCGAAATGCCCGGAAAAGGCCATGAACAAGATGAAAACGTGCTCAAAGGACAATATTGTTTGGCAAAAGTTAATTTATCGGGTTTTCACAAGAAAAGTGACGACACCGAATTACCATCTCATTCCGCTTGGGGAACCTTAAAGGTTAATATCGATTCCGTCAAAAAAAAAAAAAAAAAAAAAAATTTTCTGAATTTCTGAACTTACCCCACCGCGAAAATTTTCTTTCTTCCTTTTAACGATTGATAAAAATTATCAATTATGCGATTGAAGTGATAACTTTTCGGAAAATTTTTTTTTATATAATGTCTCTCTTTCTCTCTCTCTCTCCATTCCGATCCTGACGAATTCGAATTATTTTAAAATGTGCAGGGAGCCAACCCTGAAACAAAAAAAAAAAAATTTTAAACATAAAGTCATGTACCTGTGACGTCAGAGACTTTTTTTAATCGATACAATTTTTTTTTTTAATTGAAAGGTACCGACGACGAGAAGAGAATTTCGTAAGGATGTCGTTTATTGGACCTTCTGCGTACCTTCTGCTTGCACAAACGAAGACGTTGAATTTTTTTTCAACACTCTTGCCGAAACTTATAAAATAAGAGGTCTTTTATTAAAATTCGAAATACCACCTGATATGTGTCAGGTTAAAAAAGAATTACAATTTGACGGATATGACGTAGCTTTGTGGTAAATTTTAATTTTTTAATCTTTTTTAATATCTCTGTTAACCTGATTGGTTGTAAAAACTTTTCACTTTTTCAGTTTCGTCGTGGGAGCTTTTGTTTTAGCCATTGCTGTAGCCACGACATACGATTTAACGATTGTACAAAAATCTCCGGAAAAAATTAAAAGTGAGAAAAATCCCCTTAAATTTTATTTATTTATTTATTTATTATTATTAATTCGGTGACTAAATGGATTTTTTTTTTTTTGTTTTTCAGATTTTAAAACAAATTTACTCATTTGTTTTTCCGCATATACGAATTTCATAAAATTGTCAGCTTATGCTCCGTCCATACATAATTTGGATAGTATTTTCGGCATTAAAGCAATTACGATGGTTTTAATATTGATGGGACATGCAACAGCATTTATCATTGGGGGGCCAAGTATGAATTCGAATTTTAAAGAAGAAGTAAGTCATTTTTATACTTTTTACGTAAGTGATTCTTCCCTTCTTTACGAATACAATTTTTGTTTTTTTTTTAGGCCGTGTTAAAAGTCGAAAACGGAATTTTATTAAACAATCCTCTTTTAGTGGACACTTTTCTCATGATTGGAGCTTTTCTCCTCTGCAGATTATTACTCGCAGAATTAGAAAAGAGAAAATTCGTTAATCCATTCATCGTTTACATAGCGAGAATAATAAGGTACGTGTGTTGTCGTGATAATAAATAAATCGTTCGATATTAAAATGAATGAATGAATGAATGAACCATTTTTCCTTTTTTTTTTCTTAAAGATTGACTCCAGCTTATGCAGTTGTTATAGCCATTTATTGCACGTGGTTTTACAAATTCGATTCAGGTCCCCTGTGGGAATCTAGAGTCGGTTTAGAAAGAGAAAGATGTAGAAAATCATGGTGGGCTAATTTACTTTACGTAAATAATTACGTCAGTAACGAATATTTGGTAAGTTTTAACGTTTTATTATTTTTTTAAAATATAATCAAAATTCGAAAATAAAATTTTAATTGTTGTTTACATTTTGTATAAAAAAATCTTGTCCGTCATGACCCAATTTTTAGTTTTTAACGATAAATTTTGTTTTATTTTTTTTTTTTTTTTCCAGTGCATGTTTCAATCCTGGTATTTGGCCGTTGACACGCAATTTTTTTTTCTCGCTCCCGGTATTATTTATCCACTTTATAAATGGCCAATGATTGGAGAAATCATTTTATTTGGTACTACAACCATATCCGTTATAATTCCATTCGTTGTTACATTCGTTAATCATTTAGATCCGGTTTTAATGATGTATGCGAGGTAATTTTCTTTTTCGGCGAAAATTATTTAATGTTATTTCGTATGAATCTTCTTCCAAAAACTTTCAATTTTTTTTTTTTTTGTTCCACAGCGAAATAACTGATCTTTCTGCTAATCCAATGTATAAAACAACATACATAAAAACTCACATGAGGGGAATGTCTTACACTATCGGTTTATCATTGGGATACATAATTCACAGAATTCAAAGTTCCGGTTATAAAGTTCCAAAGGTACTTTTAAACTTTCCTCCGAATTTACGTCATGGTTTCCGTCATCTCAAACGACGAGTTATTAAACAATATAATTTTTTCCAGAAAATTCTTTGGTGCGGATGGATAATCGGTACTTTTTCCGCGATATCTTCAATGTTTTCCGTCAGCGTGTTTTATTACAGGCCCTACGATGCATTCGAATCAGCAACTTATGCTGCTTTGCATAGAGTCGGATGGTGCGTTGGCATAGCTTGGGTCATATTCGTATGCATAACAAACAACGCAGGTAAAAAAAAAAAATGAGAAAATCGAAAAACAAATTAAACGCGACGACACTATTGTTAATAATAATTTATCACTTTCAGAAAAATTAAATAAATTTTTAAGTCTGAGATTGTGGGTACCTTTCAGTAGATTAAGCTATTGCGCATATTTAGTTAACGGTCTCGTTGAACTTCACACGATTGGAACATTAAGGCACACGAGATACCTGACTAATATTGAAATGGTAAGAGTATGACACCGCAACCTGATACATTTAAGGTATTTTCACGCACTTTTCAAAACTATTAAAAATCTTCTTCTTTTTTCCGTACAGGCCAAAGAAATTTTATCACACGTTATTATCACATACGTTTTAGCACTTTTGTTTTCCATACTTTTCGAGGGTCCCATATTAGCCATCGAAAGTATTCTTCTCAAGAAAGCCAATAACACGACAATTAAAAAACCGATCGGATCCACGAGTACGACATCGGTAGAATCACAATCATCGGTCGAAACAACCACGATAAACGAATGAATTTTAAACTATTATTATTATTATTATTATTAATTTATCCAGTTCCTATTTTAATTTATTATTTGTTTTTTTTTTTTTTTTTAAACGTGTGGAAAAGCGAACGTGACGTAAACGTGCCATTTTTTTCTTGTCGTAATAAGTATACACGTTTCCCACACGTGTTGTGAATAAAAAAAAATTAAAACGTGCAAAACTTTTAAACGTTATCGTATATATAAATATTATTATTTATGATATATTAATAAATAATTAAAATGTACATTATTTACCTTATTAGTTAGTTAATTGATGTGAAATCGCATGTCGTCATCAAATTAGCTTAAATTAATGTTTCAGTACAAAAAATCTGTAAACAAAAAAAAAATAAATAAATAAATAAAATAAATAAATAAATAAAAATTATTTTTTGTCTATTTGATTACCAAAAAAAAAAAAAAGGTATTTAACGTCGAACAGGTAATTAATTAATTAATTAATTAATTAATTTTTAATAATATTTATTAAAATAAAATGTGAGCTATTATTATTATTATTATTATTCGTGCGATGAGACTTTTTCGTTCTCGAAATCGTTAAAAAAATTTGTTTTTTTTTTTTATTCGGTCCCGGCTCAAAATTATATTTAGATTTTTTTTGACTTGCTCTCAATGAATTTTTTTTTTTTTTTTTTTTTTTTATAAACGCGAAGCTTTTATTTATTTTTATTTAATTTAATTTTAATTTAATTTGCAAAATTTATTTATTTATTTATTTATTTCGTCGCGAGTCGCATCAATACAAAATCGTGAGTAAAAAAAAATTTTTTTTTTTTTTTTTTTTTTTTGCATTAATAAAAGTTTTACACGCCGTGTAAAATTTTCCATTAAAGAAATTTAATAAAAAGAGAGAGAGAGAGAGAGAGATTAATAAGTAATAAACCGAATTTATTTAAAAATAATAATAATAAATCCGCGTGATTAACTCGCACACAAACATGGTTTTTTTTTTTTTTTTTTTTTTTTATTTTATTTTTTTTTTTAATTTTAGCTTAACCGGGGATAAAATGTAATCGAATGTGAATATTTAAATAAAAAAAACCTAATAATAATAATAATAATAAGAATGAAAAATAATCGTTTGAAAAATGAATATTTCGATGGGTATGGGTCGTCATCGTCGTGGGAAAATAAAAAAAAATTCCATGTTTTATAAAAATCTGTCGTCGTTTTTTGTCATTTTTTTTTTTTTGCTAAAAATAAATGAAGTTTCCGGAAAAGGCGATTTGAAAACTAAACTACTACTTAATAATATAAGAACACATTTAACGTCAAAAGTCGAAGAAGCAATACAAGAAAAAGAATGTAAATTAAGGTCACCAATGTGTAAAACAACATTAGAAAATTTAAAGGATGTTGATGATGATGATGATGATGATGATGAAAATAGCGACGAAGTATTTTCCGCTGTGAAAATATTAAAAGAATATAATAAAGGAAACGTCAAAATAAATTTTAAACCTCCTCCAACTTATAATTTTGCACAAAAAAAAGGTGATGAATCAAATCGAATTTTTAATTTCCCATCAAAAATCAAATTAATAATAATAATAATTTTTTTTTACAGTCGAATACAAAGCGAAAGCACGGGAAAAATTTTCCGATTCTGTAAAACAACAGCCGGATACTTACGTTCCCCCCAAGGTAGATAAAAAATTAGAAAAAAAGAAAGAAAAAGAAAACGTTAAAAGTGATGACAAAACAAATACAAAAACTTCTAAATCGTTAGATGAAAAAAAAAAAAAAGAAAAATCGAGAGAAAAAATTGTTGGAAAAGAAATCGTTAAAGAGAAAAATTTTAAAGAAAATGATAAAAACGTAAAAGAAAAGGTCATGAAGAAGATGAAAAATGTAGAAAATGAACAAGTACCATCACTTACGAAAATAATTAAAAGAAAAGTAGAAGAAAAAGATGAAGAAAAGGAAAAAGAAGAAAAAGATGAAGAAAAGGGAAAAGAAGAAGAAGAAGAAGAAAAGAAAAACTATTGTTCAAAAAATGCTATCCCGAAGGAAAATTTTCCAACTTCGACTGGGAAATTTTTTTTTTTATTAAATCCGAATGAAAATTTAAACGAATCGGATTTATGTAAAAAGCATAAAAATGTTTACTTTAAACAATTGAAAAAAAATAAAATTTGGGCACTCATGAGTAAGAATATAATTTATAAATTTTCTCACCCTTTTTTTTCACGTGGCATTCACACGTGGCGTCATCATCGTACCAAATATATATTCAATTTTCAGTGTTGGATGCATCAGCCAAATTACCATCGGGTATCCTCCAGGGAAACCTGAATCAATTTGGTGATTTCGATGAATGCCTCTCGATCAATGCCGTGTTTAAAAAACCATACGGTGACGAACCTTCAGGTATACGTGGAAAATACTGTCTTGCAAACATAGACGTATCGACAAACCTGAAAAATAGCACTCTTGATAAAACTCTGGATAGAGCTAAAAGTTTTTCATTTGTCAAAAGCACAATTTACGATGTAAGAAATAAAAACATTTTTATTATTAATTCCAGTGGATTCCAGTGATTCACATGGAATATTGACTTATTGATATCACGCAATCTTTTCCAGCCTGGACACTTTATTCCAAAATTTTCATCAATTAATTGGGGTTTATGTGTTCCGGACACGTGTCAAGCAGACGACGTTAAAAAAATGATTGATTCACAACTTAGAGAAATTAACGTAACGACAAATTTGATTATTGAAATAAACGTTGACGATGATAATTGCATTGTAAAAAGCGACGTCGGATTTAAGTTTAACTTATCATTGATTATGGTTTTGTAAGAAATCCAAACTTTCAATTTTTTTTTAAATATTTTTTTTCTAATTTAATTTGTCGCACTTTTTTTTTTTTTTTTTATAGAATATTTTACACGATAATTCTATCAACGACCGCTTATGCTACCTATTTAGACGTTGGAATTAATAAAAAAGAAAAAAATTCTTTAGAATTCGATGAAAAAAAGGATTCGAAGGAGGAAAACGATGAAGAAATTTTTCCAATTGAATTTTCTTCCCATTTATCCAGAAAAGGTTTAACAATCGTTTTCATCCACGAAAATTTATTTATTTTTATTAAATTTAAATTATTTTTCAGAAGGAGTGTTCAATGACGTCATAATGGCATTTTCCCTTAAAAGAAATTTAAGAAAACTTTTCGAAAATGAAAATGAAGGAAGCATACATTGCATAAATGGAATAAAAGCAATTTTTTCAATTATGTTGTATTTTGCACATAAAACTATACCACTCGGATGGACGCCTTTTAACAACAGAATATTTTTTACATTAGTATGCTTATTATACCTGAAAACAATCATTTAAAATAATCGTTCGTTTAAAATCTTATTAAAAAAAATTTCAGGTTTCAAATAATGTCGGATCTGTTATATTAAGAGCATCTCTCATATACACCGATAGTTTTTTACTCATGAGTGGACTTCTCACATCTTATAATTTAACAAAAGAAATAATGTCGAAAGGAAAAATATCATGGACGAAAAAATTATTGAGTAGATTAATACGCCTTACACCGGCACTGCTAGCGGTTTTGCTCTTTTACGGATACGTTTGGGATAATTTAGGTTCCGGACCTATGTGGAATTCTCTCGTTAAGAAAAATGCCGATATTTGTAAAGATTTCATGTGGAGGAATTTACTTTACGTACAAAATTTTTTCCCTTTTGAAAAAATGGTAAAACCTGTTTTTGTTTTCATCCCCCTTTCCACCCCCCCCCCCCAAATGCTCTAAAAATAATTTTGTTTTTCAGTGTGCTCCACAAACTCATCAACTTGCTTTAGATATGCAATTGTCAATACTAGCGCCATTTTTTGTTACTTTGTTATTTAAATATGATAAATTAGGTTTTGGTATATTGCAAGCATTATTTCTAGTGTCTTCGATAGTTAGATATTATGTTGCTTATTATAACGACCTTTCGGTTGTTATTTATCATGGGATGCCGTGAGTTTTCCATTTTTTTTTTTTTTTTTCCTTTTATTGCAACTCATTTAACCTTTTTAATTAATTATACTTTTTTTCCCCCCATTCGTTTAGAGTATCTCAGTTGTATAATACTGCAAATAAACTCTACACACAAAGTTTATGCAGGGCATCACCATATCTGTTAGGTGTTATTGTTGGACATTACTTACAAAAATATAAAAATGATATTGTCATACCTAGAGCTGTTGGAGGTATTGGCTGGATAACTGCTTTATCCCTCGGCTTTTATAGTATTATGTCTACATCACAAATGACATCCAAAGAATATGATTATAATGTGACTGAAGCAGCACAGTATGCAGCATTATCACCGGTGACTTGGTCATTTTCTCTGGCTTGGGTGATTGTAGCTTGTCACGTTGGATTTGGTGGTATGATTTCACACCTACAAAAAAAAAAATACTAAATTTTAGTTTATTATACTAAATTTCATCTTTTCTGTTTTATCATTAGGAAAACTAAATGAATTTTTAAGCAGTAAAAATCTTTTAGTGTTTAGTAGAATATCATATTCTTTATATCTGACACAATTTTTAGTATTTTTTTATTTAGTTGGTGTAAAAAGAATACCTGAAACATTTAGATTGATTGATTGTGTAAGTATTATTATTATTATTATTACTACTACAATCACTGAATAATTTGAAATGCAAGTGAAAACAACTAATGAATTAATTTCAATTTGCAGTTTGACATAAAGGAATTTTTTGTAATTATATTCATCTCAGTATTGGTTACTTTAGTTTTTGATATTCCCATGATAGACATTAAAAAACTAATAGTTGATGATGAAAAAAATTCAAAGCCTAAAATAAATTTACAAGGTTTGTAATGAGGTTTATTAAATGAGATTTTGGGAAACTCTTTTACAGCAACACAAAAGAAATACTTTTAAATTTTAGAACCGCTTGAAGACCAAAAGGAAATAGAATTTGAACCAACACAAGATTCCAAAACCGAAGGCGATCCTCTAAATGATTACATAGAAGTATCGAATGCAAACGAAACAGATTTTGAAAAACTTGAATTGGAAAAAAATAATTTTGACTATGATTATGATCCAGAAGACCCCGATGAAGAAGACGCCCCTGAAAATGTCTTTGTAAATGATAATGATGAAGATATCATTGAAATAACAGTACCACTTTTTAATCAAACTGTTAGAAGGTCCAGTGGTATGCAAATATATGATATTTCAAATGATGATAATGATAATGATTGGTTAAAAATTGATGAGGATGATAATTAAAATATAATTATTACTCATATTATTAAGTTTTTTGTTTTTTTTTTTCATTTACAAAAACATTCACAGTAAATAACATTCATGTGGTTAAAAATTTCATGTTCAACATAAAAATAACATGTTCCTTGAATTGCCAACAATATTTGTTACCAAGGCCTCAAAACTGAAAACAATTGTTTCTTATGCATAATTAACAATATCCTTTAAAATTTTGATTTTAATAAAGTTAAAAAAAAAATCACTTGTTGTTAAATTGTCTGAACTTATTGCATCACATATTAATTAACATTGTCACTAACATATTTCCCTAATGTGGTGGAAATCAGAATCACTTGTCATGAACTTTCATATATAAGCTAATTTCAAAGCTAGCCTATGCTTAGTTAATAAGTGTTTAAATAATGGAAAAGATAGTTTTACCTGTGATTATTGTTTTACAATTATATTTACCTGTTTATGGAATTCATTTGCAAAATGTCAGTCATGTATCACATTGTGAGGTTTTACAAAATCAAAAACCAGTATCTGATTACCTAAAGGATTATCTATCATATTCATTTCGAGCATCACCCATTTTAAATAATTCAAAATGTGAACAAGATATAAATTTAATATTGAGAGAGTTTAAAAAATACAATTTATGGGCCATGAAAAGTAAGTGATTCTCAATTGTTAACCTCAAATATTTGTAATAAATGTTTTTTTCAAAAGTGATGATGATGTAATTTTTTTCATTAGTGATAGATGCATCTGCAAAATTACCTTCTGGTATACTAAGTGGAAATTTAAATCAATATGGAGATTTTGATGAGTGTATGTCTGTTAATGGTGAACATCATCAAATAAATAGTAAATATTGTCTGGCTACAATTGACATAAAACCATCAAATGATGATCAAACAACAGATAATATCCGAATCATAGATGATTACATTCATTCTCACAGATTATTGACAAACGAGCTTTTCGACGTGAGACATTTTTATATGTAACCCTTGATTTGAATTAACAAAAACGTTATTAAAAAAAATTAATTAATTAATAAATATATATATTAAATAGCAAGGTCATCGCGTACCTAAAATGGAGACTTTCAATTGGGGCCTTTGTATTCCATCTTCGTGTAGTAATAAAGACGTTGAAAATATAGCTGAAAATATCTTGAAAAGAATATCTTACACTGAACCGTTTCGATTTAACGTGACCGTTAACGATGACGTTTGTTACGTGGCAGAAGAAAAAAAAGAAATGGCGGTGGCAAGTTTGATTGTTAAGTGAGTTTTTTTTTAAATGTTGAGTTTTATGTATTTTTTTTTTTTTTTTAAGATTATTAACAATTATTAAATTTTAGAGTATTATTTACTTCACTACTTGTTTTAACATTGTTGGAGTTTATCATCGATGTAGAAAAAGTTAAATTAGGGAATTCAAACGTAAATAAAATAATAAAATGTTTTTCGATAAAGAAAAATTGGGAAATATTAACGAATACAAAACCGGTTAACGATGATTTACAATGTTTACACGGTGCTAGATTTTTAAATGCTGTCGGCCTCCTTCTTTCACACAAACAAATGGCTATGTTATTTATACCTACATTTAATAGAACAACCTTGGGCAAAGTAAGTGTAAAACAATGTAAGTTTGTAAAACAACAAAAACACATTTCATTGATTTAATTTTCAGTCATTTTCAAAATTATGGACGATGCTTGGAAGATCAGCAATATTATACACAGATTCTTTTATTATGATCAGTGGAATATTAGTTTCTTATTCATTTATTAAAGATTTGGATAAAACTAAAAAATTAAACTTTAAAGAAAAATTAATCAATAGAATAGTCAGGTAGGTGACAAACTAATTTTTCATTTGAATTTTTTATAATTTATTTTATTAACCATTTAAACTAATTTTTTTTTTTTTTTTAAGATTTTTACCTAATTTAGTTGGAATAATATTATTTTGTACATTTATAATGGAAGATATGAGTACAGGACCTATGTGGGGTTTAGTAGTGAGCAAATATTCAAATTTATGTAAAAAATACATGTGGAGAAATTTTTTATTTGTTCATAATTATTTTGGATTTGAAAATATGGTATAGAAAAAATTTTCATTTTTGTTTTTAATATTAGTTCAAACATTTTTTTTTAAAACAAAAAAATTTTCAGTGTTTAACACATACTCATCAATTAGGGATTGATATGCAACTTTTTATCATTTCGCCAGTTTTTATTTACTTGTTGTGGAAATGGCCAAAATTAGGTACATCAATTTTATTGCTTAGTTCGGCACTGTCAACATGGCTACGTTATGTTGTTACAAAAAGGGAAAACATATCCACGTTGATATATTATGGAATATCGTGAGTAAAAACTTACACGTGGTAAAAATATCAATTTCCATATAATTCGATGGATAATTTAATTCCAGAGTGGAAAAGTTGTGGAAAACAGCTAATCTATCCTACATACTTCCAACTCATAGACTAACCGTTTATTTATTGGGCATCCTCATGGGATATTATTTAAGAAGAAAGGGTAGAAATTTAAAATTTAATCGTTTACAATCGATAATCGGTTGGTTTCTGGGAACTTCAGCAGGAGTTATAGCCATGTTTGGATTTTACAAAGCCGCTTATAAGGAGTATACATATAATCCTATCGATTCGGCCATTTACAATGCATTTGCTCCCATTTTATGGTCTGGCTTTTTGGGCTGGGGAATATTAGCCTGTTTAAATGATTCTGGCGGTAAAAATAATTGAAAATAATCAAATCACTTCAATGTAAAAAAATGAAAATTTTAAACTTTTTATGTCCTTTCTTTCTTTCAGGTTTTTTTAATAAATTTTTAAGTTGGAAATATTTTAAAATTTTTACAAAAATATCTTATGCGTTTTATCTAACACAATTTCCGGTATTTTTTTACAATGTCGGAACGCAACGTACTGTACAATTTTTTAAAGGATTTCATTCATTGGTGCGTTTACAAAAAAAAAATTTCAATTTTAATTTTAAATTTTATCTTAAACTTAAAATTTTTGATTTTAGTTTGAAATCAAAGAGCTGACCGTTATATTATTAACATCGTTCGCATTAACACTTTTAATTGACATTCCATTTCAAAATATTAGAAAAACTTTAGTAAATTCTAGAAAAACCGTTGAGAAAAAAGTTATTATGAAAAAGAAAAACGACGCTGATGATTTTGAAGATGATTATTCGAAAGATCATCATAAAACAAGAAGAAGAAAAATAGTACAAACTCACGGAATGTAATTATTGTTAATTAATAGGAAATTAATTAATGTAAATAAATTGATAAATTAAAAACTCTTATCAAAATATATTATGAAAAACTAATTAAATAAGAGAAAATTTTGTATAGTACTGATAAATAATGATAATTCTTTAAAATACTTATGAAAGTAATCTAATTAATAGAAAATGATTAAAAAGTAAATAAAAATTATTATTATTATTATTATTATTATTTGAATTAATTAAACTAATTAATTATTTTTTGAATATTTTTCCAATATTAAACGTGCTGTAACGCCATCTTCCAAACCCATTCCTAATGAATGAAATATGATGACGTCATTTTTAACAATTTCCTTTTTTCCAATTATTATTTCTCCGATTTCACCTAACACGGGATAACCTTCTTCAATCAATCCTTTTAATTCTACCCTGGCATTTTCCATAGAATCCGTATAAATTGAACTTTTTTCATATATACTATCATCTAATTCGCAGTGATGTTTGATACCTGCACCAATGGCGTTAATAATAACATTTTTTTTTATTTGATTTAATTTGAGTAAAGGATTTGATGAATATGTCGCCGTAACAATAACATCAGCATCTCTCACGCAATCATCGATATTATCAAATACTTCAATGTCAATATCATATTGATTTTTAAGATCTTCGGCCAATTTTAAGGCTTTACTATGCGTTCTGTTCCATAAATTAACTTTTTTAAAATTGAAAAAATGTTTAAATGCAATTATGTGAATTCTACCTTGTGCACCTGCTCCTATAACAGCTAAAGTCTCATTTTTACCAGCCTCAGGTTTTAAATAATGAGTGGCAACCGCAGAAGCAGCAGCCGTTCTCCATTCTGTGATTGTTGTACCTTCCAAAACTGCTTTTAACTTACCAGTATGAGTATCGAAAACGAAAACGTTCGCCATTATGCTGGGTAAATTATATTTTGATGGATTGTCGACAAACGATGTGACGATTTTACATGACAATACTTTGTTTCGTTCACTTAAACCGGGCATCATCAACATGACGGCATTTTTATGAGGGATTTTCATAAAACTTCTTGCTGGTTGTACGATTAAATTATCCGTAGAATTGGATTTAAGAGAAACATCCATCATGACTCCCTTTATGGCATCAAACAATGGATTCCATTCAATCAATGATTTGACGTCATCTTCGGTTACAAGTACAGGACGTTTCTGCATTTCCGTTGAAATAAGTATCTAAAAGTAAAAATATTTAATTGAAAAATATGTATGAGCACTAAACTACCATAATTTTGCAATAAAGTGACCTTACAATGTTTAAAGCAAAAAATATTACACTTTGAATTCCAGTTTTAGCCATTTTAGGTAAACCGTTTAACTCGAGATTAACGTTAACAAAAATGGCGAAAAATTATTGAGTACAATTAAATATTAAATATTTTGATTTGATTTTTTAAATAACACAGAAATTTATATATAAATATATATTTATAAATATTAATTTGATTATTTGTTGCTTCACTTAATAAAAAAAAACTAAAACTTTTTCCCGCTTTGAGAAAATAAAATTTATTCGGAAATTTTATTTTTTAATATTTAAAACTTTATATTAATTATATAAATAAATAAAAATACTTATTTATATAATATTCTTTTTAAAACTTTTTACTAAAAGGTCAATTACAAAAATTACACAATCGTATATATATATGAAGTCAACTTTTTATAATTGATATTTTTTTTTGAAATTTCTTTGTTTAATTTTTTTTTTTTAAAGTTGGCAAACACTAAAAAGCGGTTTAAAAGAAAAAAATTTGACAAGAGAGACATCTATATTTGCAAAAAAAAAACTTAATTTTATTACATAATTTATCATCATAAAATCAGTGTTTATTTAATTCCATTAAAAAAAAAAAAAAACCTGAATTGGCAAAACGAAACATATTATTATTATTATCGTTCTCATCATTAGATAAATGTTATTATACTTACATTATATTTATTAATTAAAATCCAAAATTTTATGGTCTTTTAAATTTTTTTTTTAGAAAATAATTAACATTTAAATTGAAATTAAATATATAACAATTAAAAATATTTTAAAAAATACTATTTCTCTAATGGCAAGGACATATTAATCACGTGATTAGTTACGAAAAAACGTTTTTTTTTTTTTTTTTTTTGAAAAAACATCGTCGCGAGTATGGATAAACATAAGCGCCGCCATATTGAAATAAACGACAAATTTTTCCAATGAAGATAAAACCTGTTTAGTTATTTTTTTACTCGATAGATGTCACTTTTGTTTTTATTTATATTTTTTTTGAAATTTTAACGTTAATGATTACGTAATAATAAAAAGTTTTTTAAATAATTATTTTCATTATTATTATTTATAATTAAACAAAAAAAAAAAAAAAAAAAGGGTACAATAACGTGAAAAACATTCATTAAAAAGCTCATAATTTAATCGTAGGGGAAATCAACTATAAAACATTACCTATTGCAAACAATTAAAAATGATTTATACAATTGAAGTTAATTTTCCCACCCCCCCCACTCCTTCCCTCCCAAAAATTTTAAAATAAATTCTTTTTAAAAACATTATTTTATAATATAAATTTAATAAAATAATATTAATCGAATTTAAATTTATTTTATTCCTAATGTCAAAAAAGGCCACAAATTGTAATTTTCTTTTTAATATAAAAAAAAATAATTTTTTTACAAAACGACCGTTACAAATAAATTAAATTAATTAATTAATTTCTATATAAAAATCAATAACATTATTTAAAATTTGTTCTTGGCTCAAAATAAAATAAAATATAAAATAAAATAAAACAATGTTCATACAATATTTAAAAAAAAAGAAGCTAATTGCACAATAATTAAACTATTGTTTTGTTGCTAAATAAGCACTTGTTACATTATTTATTTTTTTATTTATATTATAAACAATTAAATTATTATAATTGTAACTACGTTAATGCTATTAAAACAAATAAAAAAAAAACTTTTGATAATTCATTTGTTGACCTTTTACATTTTAAATAAACAATTTTATTTATCATCATTATTAGCATTGTTCAAACTCAATATGGCTAAAATTTGTATTAATAATTTTTCATTTTGTTTCGTCGATTGTTCCAGTGATTCCATTTTTTTTTCCATTTCGAATATTCTTTCCGTGCAATTATTTATTTCATTTCTTAGCGTATCCATTTCCGCAACGGGATTCCCCTTACTGCTGACTCGTTCCGACAATATCCTTTCTGCTGTTTTAGCCGTTGATGGATCCAGGTAGTAATTTGTGAGTCTATTGTAACATATCGTATCCTCTTCCTTAATTGATTTAGGATCTTCGAAATAAATTTTATACCTTTGATTGGGCAATACGTAAATAATTCCATCTTTTAATAATTTCGGAAAGAAAACGATTCTTTTGGCCAAATAATCGAAACAGTTCAAATTGAAATTATTATTTTTTTTTTTTTTCGAACAACATTTGAAAAGGTTCAAACAGGGAATGGGATCGGATTCGACGAGAAGCATGTTTTCGATGTAGGAAATGAGTTTGACCAAAGCGATGCACCTGCACAAATACGCATCGTTACGAATCGTTTGTGTGTCTGTCACGGCAAGACCGTTCAAAAGATTTAACAAAACTATTGCGATGAGAAAAATAAATGCTATGAATATTAAATGACTCGTTCCGATGAACGTGACGAACGGTATGTCCGAAGCATCGAATTCTCCGGTAAGCATGACAATACTTTTAAATATCGACAAACCGGGATTTACGAACGGATTATTTTCCTCGCAATCCGCACCGCAATCCCGGAAAAGTGTGTAAAAGGTTAGGGCGAAAGCAACAATGAGAATAACGTACCAAGCTAAAAATTTCATAAAATTAATTGATACGGTTTTAAACATTTCTATGTGTAACGATTGTAAGGGATGTTTCCCGGCTAACAAAACCAATTCGAACCAAGAGAGTAGAATAGCAAGAGCTGAAAATTGTGGACACCATAAACCCAATCGCGTCGATTTGGGAAATTCCCGACTGCAGTCCTTGACTAAAACAAATGCCAAAACAATCAAGAGTAAAATTTCCAACCAATTTTCCGGATCCAAAACGTATTTTTTCGGATGTATCACAATTTGAAACAATTCGCGAAGCGTTAACGCGATTAAAAATATAATTAAACAAACCCGGAGAAAATCCACTCCCGGGGATTCGTTGAAAATGTCTTTTCCTTCGTTCGAACCGTTTCCTCCCCCCCCAAGGAAATCTTCCGGATTAATTGCAACCGTCGTGAGTATTAATACATTTTCCGATGTGTGTTCCACACACCTGAATATTTATCGTGTGCGATTTTCATCGTCGAACCGTTTAAATTGAAGTCTTTTCCTTGCGCGTCGTTCGATGCCGCCAAATTTATGTGCTGTACCCAAACAATATGTATACGGTTAATAAAAAGCAAAACAAAACGTAAAATATGAGATTTACGTAGTAAAATATTCGAACTCTTTGCCATTTCAACAATATGAAACTTGTTAAAACGGGATGAACTAGTAATTTTCGAAGATGCGAATCCTTACTCATGTACAAAAGAGGCTGGGATTCAGGTATCGACTCTTGTAGTAAATTAACCGTTTCGTTATCGTCCGTCAAAGGTATTTTAATATCTTCCAATTCGGAATGAACGAGACAATTTTTAGGCACGAGAAAATTGTAATTAAATTTTATGACGTAATTGTTTCCCCTATCCAATACGTCGGTTGCCGTAATGCAAGAATCTAAATAATTGCCCAGAGTCGATGATGACATGTCTGCCAACGGTGGTTTTTTAAATTTATTCAAAGTTCCGATGTAAGCTCCGTTTTTCAACAATTCTTCCACGCATGCCGGACCCCCGTATTTCACAGCGTAGTGCAACGGGGAATTCCCCTTTAAATCCTGCGCGTTTATATCTAAATTACTTTTGTTCAATCTTCTCAGTAGAATTTGCAGACAATCTAAATGATCCGGAGAATTATCCGTGTATTTAACGACGATGTGTAATGGATTTTCACCATCTTCATTACACGACAAATCAGGTTTAGCACTTAAAAGCAAACGCAATGTCTCAGAATCTCCTTTACGACATGCTATCAAAACAGGACGAGTGGAATTATTGGGTGCGTAATTAACGTCAACGTCGTATTCCAAAAGGGTTTTAACGGCTTTTGAAAATTTTTTTTCGCAACAATATTGTAAAAATGTTTGTTTCCCATCTGTATATTTCAATAAATTTTTTTGAGCTTTATCCTTCATTTCTTCATTGAACGTTTCGCAGAACCTTAAACGAGAACACAAAATAATAAAAGGATTCTTGACGCTGCGTCAATGGTTAGCACGGATTCGCCATTAAAATTTTTTTCAAAAAAAATTTATTGCGAGGAATGCTAACTAACCTGTCTTCGTGATTGTCATGCAATAAAGAAAACAATTTATCTCCATCCATTTTAATGTCGTAAATATCCCGAGGAGATGGAAGATCTTTTTCCAAGTGTGGAAATTTATGCATGATTTCTTGCCTGGCCGTTCTCCTCGCTGAGCCAACTTTTATAGAATCAATATCTAAATGAGATCCTTTTTCCAAAAGCATTTTAACAGCTTCACCTGATCCCTATTGTTACCAAAAAAAAAAAAAAAATTCATTTTAATATTGAGTTAATAAACAAGAGTTATGAAAAAATTTCATAAATTAAAATTGGTGGATTTCGTACCTGCATTGCCGCCAAATGAATGGCCGTTAAACCTTTTCTATTAGTCATGTTCACCTTTAAACTGTCAAGTTCTAATAGATAGGCTAAACATTTTTTAAATTTTTGTTCTCCGGGTGGCCATTTTTGTTTTACAACGTAATGTAATATTGTTGAACCGCTGCTGTCTCTTATGTTAATATCCGCTCCTCTGGATACGAGCAATTTAAGGAGTTCGAGCTGACCCGTTTCTGCAGCGAAATGAACGGGAGCTTTCGATCTGACAGGATTGATGAGATTAACATCAGCACCGGCTTTGATAATGGCTTCCGCAAATTCAACATTACCTAAAAGGATTACCACACACAGTTATTATTATTAATTTTTAACACTTGAAAAACAATAAATTTGACGACAGATTTTTAATTCATTTACCATTTTCGACGGCGCTGTCGAGAAGGCGCATGTAATTATCATTTTCGTATAGGAAATTCGGATCGCATTCGTTTGATGATAAAACGCTGAGAAAATTCGTTATGTCTTTTTTTCTCCAGGCATTGAGTAAATCATTTTGTACGTGAGCAGGATTCGTCGAACAAAAATCTTTGGAAGTCATTTCAAAACACTCGACGGGTAACTTGCCAGACATTCTGAATTTTCACACCCGTGAAAATTAAATAAGAAATTAATTAGAAATCAAACGCCATTAATACACACTTAAAAAAAAAATTATTTTTTGAAACGGAACGTAATAAGACGGAAAATAATAATAATAATTTATATATAAAGAATGGAAAAAGAGGTTAGTTTCATTGAATAATTTAAAAAACAAGTGATTCGAAAATCCGGGACATAAGAAAACTTTTAAATCATTATTTGCATGCATGATAAAATTTTACGATCGGTGATGATGATGATGATGATGATGATGATGATGATAATGATGAGTGCAAATTTTTTTTTTTTTTTTTAAACGCAATTTGTTTTTATTACGAAAACAACAAACCGTTTGCACGACAATAAACATCCCTTCATTCATAAACAAATAATAATAATAATAATTTTTTTTGTTAAAGATTTTTATTGTATAGAAACTGGGCGTGTAATTAACACATAAACGTTAAAAATAATACACGAGCCCATTCAATTATTAAATGATGATGATGATAATAATAACAAAAAAAAATACAAATTTAAACGATTGATTTCCTGTTTTAAAAACCACTTACAAAATAATATGATTAATATTTTTTTAGAATGAATCAAATTTTTTCATTTGAAAAAAAAAAACGAAACGAAACGAAATAATTAAATAAGTTTTTTTTTTT